TTCTCACACACGCTTCCTTTACCTATTGGCGAGGATTGCTTCTGTGGTACTCCAGAAAACTTGGTATAATTCAATTCTCACACACGCTTCCTTTACCTGTTGGCGAGGATTGGTTCTGTGGTATTCCAGAAACTTGGTATAATTCACTTCTCACACACGCTTTCTTTACCTATTGGCGAGGATTGCTTCTGTGGTACTCCAGAAACTTGGTATAATTCACTTCTCACACAAGGTTTCTTTACCTATTGGCGAGGATTGGTTCTGTGGTACTCCAGAAACTTGGTATAATTCAGTTCTCACACACGCTTCCTTTACCTATTGACGAGGATTGGTTCTGTGGTACTCGAAACCCGGATTCTAGCGTTGTAAGTCTGCAGACATACCGCTGCATATATATATATTACTCCTTAATCTAATTTAGCAACATTTGGTAGAAAGCAAATAAATGCCTACAGCGGATATTTGATGACGAATTATGTATATATAAAACCAATAATACCCGAGAAAATTTGGTCAACTTATTGACTTATGATGATAACAAAAGCAAGTTTTGGCTATATTTACCTAAGCTATGTTGCATATCTGTTCTACTCTGTACGTTGCGCTACAGGAGTGAAATGAATAATGAATTAACTGGTTGTTGACAACGGTCTACAAACAGAAGCACGGTCTGCACGCAATCATTGTGTGATCAGGAACTTGTAAATGTTGAAGTTTAGTTTATTAATACGGGCATAACTTTAGGAACCAACAAGAAAAGGTAAACAAGTTGTTGAAGACAACAAACATTAACAAACATTTTAAAACGAATTAAAGACCAACAAGAAAGACCTGGCCAACTAGGAAACAACACTGTTGAAAAGTCATCCCGAAATTTTCTTTGGTATACGATAAAGTTCTCGGTGTCGTGTTTAACTTTGGTATACGATAAAGTTCTCGGTGTTGTGTTTAACTTTGGTATACGACAAAGTTATCGGTGTTGTGTTTAACTTTGGTATACGTCGTATACCAAAGTTAAACACAACACCGATAACTTTGTCTCGTATACCAAAGTTAAACACAACACCGAGAACTTTATAGTATACCAAAGTTAAACACAACACCGAGAACTTTGTCGTATACCAAAGTTAAACACAACACCGATAACTTTGCCTCTAGCATCCAGATGTCAGGTACCTCTTGCATCCAGATGTCAGGTGCCTCTTGCATCCAGATGTTAGGTGCCTCTTGCATCCAGATGTCAGGTGCCTCTTGCATCCAGATGCGAGTTGTTAATATATAACAAATGCATCCACCATCCGAGTAAATTTCTCACACGATTTAACAAAGTTAAACACAACATCGAGAACTTTGTCGTATACCAAAGTTAAACACAACACCGAGAACTTTAACCTGACATCAAGTTCAACATTCTTGCTGGTCTTCAAGTTTATTTATATACATTATAAAAAGAACCAATTATTAATCTGATGTACAAATGTTACATTTTTTTCACGTAGTTTGATTTAGATATTAACAGTCCCCCCTCCCCCAGTGGCACAGCGGTATGTCTGCTGCCTTACAAAACTAGTAACCGGATTTCGATACCCGTGATGGGCAAAGCACAGATAACCCATTGTAAAGCTTTGTGCTTAATTCCAAACAAACAAGATATTAACAACATTTCGTAGTCAAAACAAAGTCCGATCTTCTTCCTCGCATAATACGCGCGATATAATCAAATTCTGCCAAACCTTTTTTTTTCTTAATCTTTTCAACTTTAATTCTGTAAACATAAATTATTTTATACTTTTTAGAATATCGTTTGAAATGCTAGCTGCCTCCAGTTCATGTAAAGTCAGAAAGTACAAGAATCACCCAAACGATTTCTGCTCCATTTGTTGAAAATATGTTACAGTATCACTAAGTAAAAAAAAACACCACACACACACACACAAGGTAAATGTAGCTTACTATCACTAATTTGGGGGTAAAATTGGCGACCAAGAAAAATAATGGGCTCCACATGTGTGTTGTACAGTTTCTACATCTGGCTTGACACAGTGGCTGAATAAGAAGAGAGCAAGCATACCATTTGAAGTTCCCGTGATATGGCGTGAGCCAAAATATCATCTAACTGACTAATGTTTCTGGATATTCAGGCAAAACTAAACACTACTTTAAATATCCAGATATTGAATCTGCAATAAAACCAGTACGTCATGGGGGAGGTCTTCCAGTGCCACATCCACCAGCGAATTGGGAAACAGAAGAATTATCCTGCGAAGAAGACAATGAATCATCTTCACACTCTTCATCTAGTAATCGCCTCCGCCAACAAAGATGACGGAGGTTATGTTTTTACCCTATGTGTGTTTGTCATCAAGATTTCTCGAAAACGGCTGAATGGATTTGGACGAAAGTTGGTATACATTTGGACTATGACCCAAGTTGGAAGTGATTAGTTTTTGAAGGGTCAAGGTCACAGCAACATGGGGGACCGATTTTTCACACTATTTTTGCTCTATAACTCAGTTAAAAATGCTCGGATTGTGATGAAACTTGGTGGACACGTTGTCCTGCCAAAAATGGTCCGTGTCCGTTAATAAAGACGGACATACGAACACATTTTCGTTTTTATTTTTTTTTGAGAGCAGAATACAATCAACTTTGCAATGAGGAAGTTAGCGCTCTTCTGAGTGCCCCCCCCCCCAAGTTATATTCCTGTGGCACCTCAACATAAACTGCCTCATCTGATCATGCATGAAGAGCTAAACAGATAGCCCATTGTGTAGCTTTGTGCTTAATTACAAACAAACATAAACCCAGTAATATCTCGCGCGGTTCGGCCAGCTTAGGAGATTTAGATTAGCCCTAAATACGTTAAGCTAACAATGCAAAACAGTCTCTGTAATAAAAGAAAAACATTATGATAAAAAATTTAAAGTAATAAAATTAATCAGTATTAAATCAATACTATAATTCAAAGTAACCATTCGTTAACAGCAGCCACTAACTAATATTCTGAAACCATAATTAACATTTTATGATAATAACAAAATAGCATTTTGTCTTAAAAGTGAGATATAAACAATAGCAAAGTCAAACCACCTAAACAACAACTATTTCACATAGCTAGGTGGTTAGGGCGCTCTATTCGCAACCTGTGGTTCGAATCCCCGTCTCACCCTTTCAGCCGTGAGGGCGTTATTATGTGACGATCAATCCCACTATTCGTTGGTTAAAGAGTAGCCCAAGAGTTGGCGTTGTGATGACTAGCTGCCTTCCCTCTAGTATTACACTGCTAAACTAGGGACGGATAGCGCAACAGATGTCAGAAACGTCCTTGCACACTAATGGTAATCTATTCCTATGCCTCGTCAACTTAAACCTATTGATTGATGCCTTGCGAATAAAAGGCATATTTTACAAGAACAACCTCTTGTACATCAACGGAACAGTAATGAAACATTCCAGAACTTGTAAGTACGTTACACACTCGCCTGGGATTAATCAAGAATAAAACTTGATTTATAGAGACCAGTCAGGACCTTCTGATGCTGCTGGTCAGTTAATTAAATATATATTGTTCCGTTTTCCAAGTTATTCCGTTGCGGATGACTAAATCTCTAGTAGCGCTCTCACTTTCTAACTGGTTATTCAAAGACTTAATTTTTTTTTTACTTACTTGTCACTTTATCATTAAATTCTTATTAGTTTATTTAAAATCTTCTCTACGTTACATACACTCACAACTATGTTTGTTTTATTGTTGTTATGATTTTTCTGGTTTTCTCAATAATATTAAGCCTAAGTGTTTTAACTTTAATCGCCCTGGTTACCCAATAATATCTGAAACTAGGCCTAATAGTCCTATTTTACTCAACAATACCGGAAACTAAGCCTAACTGTCTTAGCTTTAATCATCTTGCTTTTCTCAATAAAAACTGAAACTAGGCCTAATAGGCCTAGATTTAGTAGTTCTGTTTTTCTCGATAATACCATAAGCTAGGCCAAATAATCCTAGCTTTAATGGTCGGAAGAAATCTAGAAAATGCACAAAGATGAAAGAGAATATGTGGACTACTCTAAACAACGGTATGAAAAGATATAATACACAGATGCCATCTGTTGCATTTTAAAACCTATATTTAACCTACAATTTTTGGAGTAAAATACTTGATTTAATGTTTCTCATTACTTACTTAGCATGATTAGCGAAAACATATTTCGTGACGCTGTTCAAAATTAGGAAGAGAGGCGATGTTTTAAATGGATGATGCATGAGGTAAGTTAGAGTATTCTCCACTTATCTGTACTTCTTAACGTTAAAGAAAAAGCTTGCTAGCATTTTCCAACATCACGTTAAAAACGGCCCAGCATGGTCAGGTGGTTAGGGCGCTCGACTCGCAATCTGCGGTTCGCGGGTTCGAATCCCCGTCCCACCAATCATACTCGCCCTTTCAGCCGTGAGGGGATTATAATGTGACGGTCAATCCCACTATTCGTTGGTAAAAGAATAGCCCAAGAGTTGGCGGTGGGTAGTGATGACCAGCTGCCTTCCCTCTAGTCTTACACTGCTAAATTAGGGACGGCTAGCGCAGATAGCTTTGCGGGAAATTCAAAACAAGCAAACAAACGCACGTTAAAAACGCAATCAAAAGTTAAATAACATCATTTAGTTACTGATAGTTCATGATTATTGCTGTAACATGTCGACACTTTTCTTGTTATAATAATTTGTACTAACTCTTAGACTAAATATTATTCGTATATTAAATTCATCATAGGAAACAAGGTAAAAGAGTCTTCAAATAAATCCCGTTCTCTACGTATTGAATCCACTCTTAAACCGGAATACCGACCTTTGGGGTTAACTTCTTGGACCCCTGAGTTTTTACCAAACTCCCTCGTCCTATCTGAAGGCTACCAACCATCACTTTACTGCGGACCCTCAACTTCAACATCCACACTTTTCAGCCTTGGAATCCCAGATCCAAGAGGATTCTTGTCGTCAACTCACGATAAATTCTTCCCACCCTTCCCTGGAAGGTTAACGACATGCTTTGGATTCCCCTTCTATACCTATACGACTCCCTGTTCCACAAAATCTGGGTTTTCTATTAGGTCCCAATCTGACACCATTCCAAAGTCTACAGCACTAGGGGACGTTTTTTCTTGTGTTAAGTGCAGCAAAATGTTCAGCACTCCCCACGGTCTGGAGGTACACGTGCGCCGATCTCACAGCGGCAAGAGACCTTTTGCTTGTGAACTGTGTAATAAAACATTCGGCCACGAAGTAAGCTTGAGCCAGCACCGTGCCCTCCATACCGCAGAGAAGAGTTTCGAGTGCAAGCAGTGCGGGAAGACTTTCAAGAGGTCGTCCACCTTATCCACTCATCTGCTAATCCACTCCGATACCAGACCCTACCCGTGTCAGTACTGTGGTAAACGGTTCCATCAGAAGTCGGACATGAAGAAACACACCTACATCCACACAGGTCAGTAACAGATACATAGATGAGTACCAGTCTCATCAGTTTGAAGTATGAGTATGCAAGTTACCTCTGTTGTTTTTGGTGTGTTTTTTATATTTTTAGAAATAACATTTTTTTATGATTCAGTTAGATAACTCTGATGCTTTATCTCTACAGTAATACTCGTATATCATGGCGTTCTCTTAGGCAGTAAAGCATTGATTTTCTTTCACCAAATGTCCGAGGAAAACTCTTCTTTAACTTATTGGTTTTTTCAAAAAGTACTCTTTTTTTTTTCTTTTTAAACTTGTGTACTTAGTTCTGCGCTATCTTAAGAATGGAATTTTGTATCCGGACCAATACTTTCCAGCTGACCTAGCCCTATCACACACTGCTCTTTGTTTACAAGTGTCTTGAAACGTCTTTAAATAAGCGACATAGTTAAGGATTATTGAAAGTTTAATCTTGCAGTTTTCAGCTTTTGTTTTCTGTGTGACATTAGGACATTGAGAGATAAGGTGTTTTGTTTAAAGTCATTTTATTACAGATGTCTTGAAACGTCTTTAAATAAGTGACATAGTTAAGGATTATTCAAAGTTTAATCTTGTAGTTTTAGCTTTTGTTTTATGTATGACATTAAGACATTTAGAGATAAGGTGTTTTGTTTAAACTCATTTTATTACAGAAGTCTTGAAACGTCTTTAAATAAGTGACATAGTTAAAGATTGTTGAAAGCTTAATCTTGTAGTTTCAGTTTTTGTTTTCTCTCTCTCTCTCTCTCTGTGATATTAGTAGATCAAATCTCTTGTTAACTGTTGTTTTTTGTATCTTACACAGGAGAAAAGCCTCACAAGTGTAGTCTCTGTGGTAAAGCTTTCAGTCAGTCGTCCAACTTGATAACTCACTGCAGAAAGCACACTGGCTACAAACCATTTACTTGCGACATCTGTGGGCGAGCTTTCCAACGAAAGGTGGATCTTCGACGTCACAAGGAAACGCAACATGCTAGAGGTCAGCAGTTGCACCAGTAGGAGGAATCGAATACCACGCTAAGTGTTTGGTTGGAACCAATAAGAACGTACGTTCGCGTAGCGGGTTCCGAGAGCTACTAGTGGAAAAGTTGGAATTGAAAATAGAATTAATAAATCATGTTTCTAAGAGCATAAGAGTACCATCTTATGTACAAGTCGGTATCGGTGATGTTTTCATCAAGCAAGGACTACGGGATCAGTAGAATTTTAAAAGACTGCTATAGATAATTGAATTTTAAATTATCTATAATTTAATTGATACTTGAAGCCGTCGGTTCTTGATGAAACCGTATACTTACAAAATTTAAGAAAATAAAAACAATTGTACTTTTCACAAGTATTTCTTCTTTTACCATTAAAGTCATGATCGGGTACACCTGATGATACCTTTACTGGTGAAAATGTGGTCGTAATACTTCCCTGATGATACCTTTACTGGTGAAAATGTGGTCGTAATACTTCCCTGATGATACCTTTACTGGTGAAAATGTGGTCGTAATACTTCCC